TCCCTTTTCACCTTTGATTAGCTCAACCTGAGGTTTATTCTAGCTTTGTCAGTGCACCATTAGAGAAGCCAGGGCCAAGGCTGAGAGTTCAGGCCATCTGATGTAAAAGAAAGAATATAGGCTGAGCCTTATTTGTCTGACAGTGACCTGAGATCATTTCCACAGTGCACTGATATTATTTGAACAGGTCAGTCATGGCAAGATTTTTTTTAAAAAAAAGGAATATCTCCATCTCATAATATAATTCACACCACATGTCCAGGGACTTCTCATAAGACACACGTGATTAAAACCAATAACTGATAGTTTTAATTGCTAAATAAAGTAAAATAATTTGTCCCCCTTTACAGGGGATTAGAACCCTGATTTTCCAGTTTCCTAGTCCAACACTCAAACCACTACAGCACGTGAGCTCTCTAATTATGCTTATATGCATGCACGCATGTGCACACACACACACACACATTCAGCCATGAAAAGCTACTGGGTGACCTTAGGCATATACCACTCTTTCAGCCTCAGAGGCAGGTCAAAGCAACCCCCCCCCGAACATATCTTACCAAGAAAACTGGGTGATAAGTTCACCTTATGGTGACTGTGAGTCAGAAATGATTTGAAGGTGCACAACAACAAACATAGCATAATTACATCACATTTTTGATAGTTGAGAATATATCACTTCTCGGCCTTTTGCTAAGATCAAGTGTGAGAATATGTACATTTTATGTTGTGGGTGTAATATAAGCAATATTGATTAGATGGTAATATAGTTTATTTTTTAAAAAGTAAGGAGTGATAGTGGAGTTTCACTGTGTGGAATAACATCACTATGAGTTTGTCTAATGCAGTGGTCTCCAAACCTTTTTGGGCTAACACCTCCTTTCCCCTTGCACCACTACCCCAGCCATATTTGTTGATATTAAGCCAACTAGTCTACTGCAAATTTAAAACAACCAATCTTGGTTGCTGCTCCTCTTGCACCTGGTCACCCTGGGAAAAGCTGCCTGAGCAGTGATCAAGAAGCCTTTCCCCCATGCTAACCTTGCAACAAGGCCAATGTAGACAAGTGACTTCTCGGTCACTGCCAACTGGCTTCTTGGCTGCTGCTCTCTTTGCACCCAGTCACTCTGGAGCAGCAACTGAGCAGCTGGCTAAGCAATGACCAAGAAGCCTCTTGCCCCTGCCAGCCTTGCAGGAAAGGCCAATATGGATGAGAGGCCTCTTGGTTGCTGCTTGACTAGCTGCTGAGTTGCTGCTCCCAAGGTGACTGGGTGCAAAGGGAGAAGCTTCTCCCTGGCAGGAACGACTCTCAGTTCTTCTTCACTAGGGCAGAGAGGGGCACAGCTGGCTTCCACTATTATCCCCACTGAGAAAGGACTCTCAACCCAAGAGAGGCAAGGGACTCTTTTGAAGAACTGATCCCGCATATTCCTTCCTCCTCTTTCTCCAGAGACATTCCTTCCTCACACAACTTCATTTTGCTTCTACCCAACATTGTTTCTCTTGCCACCGCCAATGAAACAAAGCAGGAACAGCAGCACACCTCCAATCTGCCAGCCAAGTCCCAGTAAAGCTCACAGCTTAAGCAGGGTCTCAAAAGTGAAAACTTCTTTTTGCCACCATTTCTCCCCTAACATCATGTGCTCTAACGCCTCATTTCAGTCAGTCAGTCTGTCCTAAAATGGCAGCACAGGAGTGAGCTTGCATGGACAGTCAAAGTGTGAGAGAACCACACAAAGTGATTATTGAGGCCATGTAGTACTTTTAAGGGATCCTGAAAATATAAGTTTCATGCAACCTTCCCCCTCCACCCCATAGTTCCAAAGACCACTGGTTCTCCTTGTCTTTCTTGCATGCCAGTAAAAAAAAATATATTATTTTTTTTTAATTTTGACTGTTGTTTAATTCTATTTTAAGGGGACTAGAGGGTGGGATTATGGGATGAGGGATTGATTTTTAACTTTGCTTTGTTTTAAAACTTGCTGTTCCCCACTCCGATTGCCACGCAGAGGGGCGGGTTATAAATAAAAATTATTATTATTATTATTATTATTATTATTATTATTATTATTATTTAGATTGAAGGCCTCTCTGCCTTCTCCTTTTTCCTTACCACCCCCCTGGATCTTTCTACCACCCCAAGGGTGCCCACTTTGGGAAACACTAGTCTAATGAGTGCAATATTATATTTAGTTCTAAAATATTCAAAGAACCAAACTTTATTGAGGATGACACACTAAACAGCTCAGTAGAGGCCTGAGAGGACTGCCACAGTTTTTAAAGAAGTCCAGCATAACTGTCCAGTTTTGGTGCACCTTTAGTGCGTTGAGCCTGGAAACCCAAGTTTCAATAGTAGCCAGGAGTGCTTTTGCACAGTTAAGGCTTATGCACCAGCCATGCTCATTTCTAGAGATGTCAGATCTGGCCAGGTGTCATCCAGTTATCCCACAACTGTGGCACCAAATGTTGGGACTTGTCCCACTGCTGTCACCAAACATGAGAACTTCCATTTGACCTAACACTGTCTTACCAAATGTGGGGCCCTCTACTTTCCCCTCTATTGTGGCACTCTTGAACTACATCTGCCACCACATACACTGTGTGTCTGAACTCTGCTACTCCAACAGCACTATTGTAGCATTCCCAGAAGCATATATGTGTATTACAAGAATTATTTTAAGCTAAAGTCCAACACATAAAGCTTGTTGATGTACAGGAGGCTATGGTTATAGAATGTCAAGGTTTAATTGTTATTGTTGCTTAGCTTGTGTAGATCCTAATTGACTCTACTCTCATTCTTTGGGGCTATACAGATGGGCAGCTCTGGGCCGCCCCTGTTAGTGGCAGATTGGGGCCATGGCAACTGCAGGCCACGGTCCCAATCCTCCCTTTTGCTGCCCTAAAAGGCCTCTTAGGGGCAACAAAAGGCCACCCTAAGAGCCGGGGCCATGACTCTTCTGCACCCTTTTGGCGCAGCATGTCTATATGCTGTGTTGGGAGGGCGTCCTGACACATGGGGTAGAGGCAGCTGGAGTGTGGCTGCCCCACCCCAATTCCACCCTCAGGCCAGCCCTTTAGGCCGGTCTGCAATGCCCCTTTATCTCTTAATAATCCTAGCTGAACCTGTTTTAACTAATAATAATAATAATAATAATAATAATAATAATAATAATTTGCACCCCACCCCACTGCATAGCAATCGGTGTGGCTTCCAACATAAAAATACAATAACATAAAAATACAATATTTTATTCTTAAAAAATTATTTCTGTTCAAAAGGGATTTCAGTCATATACAGTAATGCTCCAGTATAAAAAAAGCAGGAAAATAAAAAGACAAAAGGAGGTGAAATAACCACATTAGTTGTAAGTTTCTATAAAAGTCCATTTGTAAATTTAGCCTGTACATCATTCTTTCCAACGTTGCAAGTATTGTTTTCCTCTCCGTATTGGATCACAGGTGGAGAAAAATTATCTTTCCAGTAACAAAGCATCAATCTTTCAGCAGTCAAAAGGGTTTGAAAAATTCATTTCCACTGGCCATTTATTAATTTCCAAGAAAAAGGTAAATAATTCAAAAGAATGTACACATCCCTGAATATCAAGGAACTTTCCAAAACCAAATTTACTCAAATGATTACTTTGTCCCAAAATGTAGCTACTATGGGGCACCTCTAAAATATATGCATTAAGAAAGCATTAGTAGTATTACATCTCCAATAATTTAATGCTAACAGGGGGCAGAGAAACGGTAAAACTACTCAACACCTTCTTTGCCTGTCTTCTCAGAAATGGAAAAAGGTGCTCAACCTGAGGAAAATGAAGCATAGGACACAATAGGGGAAATGCAGCACAGAATAAGTAAAGAAGTATTACAGGAACACATTGTAAATCTAAATGAATTTGTCTCCAGGACCAGATTAACTACATCTAAGGCTATTACAAGAATTGGCAAATGTAATCTCAGAGCCATTGGCAATAATCTTTGAGAACTCCTGGAGAACAGGAGTGGTCCCAGCAGACTGAGGAGGACAAACTTTGTCCCCATCTTCACAAAAGGAAAAAAGAGGATCCCAACAATTATTGTCCAGTTAGTCTGACACTGATACCAGGTTCTAGAGATACCAGATTCTAGAACAAATCACTAAACAGAGAGTCTGTGAACATTTAGAAGGGAATGTCATAATCACAAAAAGTCAACATGGGTTTCTGACAAACAAGTCATACTGGACATCTTTTATATTTTACACTTTTCTTTTACATTTTACACTTAGAAGATTATCACATGTGAAATCCGTGCCGGGTTACATGTGAGTTGTAACCATCAGCAATGGATCTTATCACAGTGCCCCATGCCCAGGCAGTAGGCAGCCCATATACAACCTGGGTTTCTCCTGTGACTTTTCAGGAATTCCTGTTCTTGAAAAGCTTTGAAAGAATCATGGGTTGGATACGAGCTGCCTACTATTTGTGCATGGGGCACTGTGATAAGATCTATTGCTGATGGTTACAACCCGTGTGTAACCCGGCACGGATTTCACATGTGATAATCTCCTAAGTGTAAAATGTAAAAGAAATTGTTGCTGTGATATGCTAAGATGAGGAAGGTCAAAATGAGAAAAGAAAGTTTCCACATTCTCTTGGTGAATTTCATTATTATTATTATGCAATTCATATTTAACTGTTTGCTGTTTTTTATTGTTCTTGATTGTTTAATGTTTAAGTCTTTTTAATAAGTTTTTCTGTGCTTTCCATTGCAGGCCCTTCATTCATTTAAAACTATTCCATCAGATCTGTTGACGTTTGAGCCCCAAACTGTTCATCACTGAGAAGTGATATAGTAAAATGCCAAAGACTAAAGGATTTAGGAGCATTGTTGTTGTTGTTGTGATGTGCCTTGAAGTGGTTTCTGGCTTATGGCGACCCTAAGGTGAACCTATCACAGGCTTTTCAGGGGCTAAGATTGTGTGACTCATCCAAGCTCACCCAGTGGGTTTCCATGGCCAAGCAGGGAATTGAACTCTGGTCTCCAGAGCCACAGTCTAACACTCGAATCACTGCACCATGCTGGCTCTCCTAGGAAGATTAGAAAGTACAATTCTAGACAAACCAGAGTATGGTTTGATATTATCAACAATTCTATTTTGCATGTGTTACTGGGCATATAAGATGACCCCAACTTTTCCAGTTAAAATATAGAGTT